TAGCTGCTAAACATTACCAACATATTAGCGAAATATATTTAGTAGTTGCTGCGTGCACTGTCACTCCAGTCGATCGTGCCTATACATTCACATCATAACTTTCACGATACTTATGTATCGAAATTCATGAAAAGGATTTTCCATCAACTGGTCAATATTTATATACTTAAGGTTAAGTAATTTTTGAGGGTTGAAAAATAAAACTGTATCAAAGTATTCATAAAATCAAGATTTATAATATACAATATCTTCGTATTTTTCGTAGTGTTTCCCTGTAATGTAATCTGCAAAACCATCTTTCGAGAAGACTCCAGAACTGGTTCCAAGTTCATTTTCATGCACATATCTGGCTAGAGGCTGCAACATAAATAGTATAATTTAACTTACTTGATCCAATTGAACATAGATTTTTCTATAGATTCTATAGGTACTGTACTAAGCTCTGAACGAAAATGTTTGTACATTACAATGATAGTGATAGATAGCGGAGGAAAACAGAAACATATAGGTACAAGAACCCGGTTAGTTATGAACTTAATATAAATGTTAAATAAAATGTTAAGTTTGCACCTCTTCAAAAAATGCTTCCAAAACTAATATAACAAAACACATAATGAATCGTTTACATTATGATTTACCAATAGAGCTTGTAGCGATAGGGCCCCATCACGTAGATTTACTATTAATTTATTGTTCGGTTAAAACATTAATCTTCAAAATAAAGTTAACAAACAAAGATATGTTTCCTTCTAGTATCTATATTTCCCACATTAATTATTTCCAGCCAAGAACTTCTGCGTGGTTCAAGCACAAACTAAAAAGAAAATTTATAATATTATTAAAATTATCGGCAGAGTTCGACACATTCTAATAAATACTCTAAAAATACCCTAAAGTTATATTTCATTGGTTTGTTTCATTTGAATCCGTCGAGCGGCATTTGATAAAAAAATCAATTTTGACAAAAATGCATTTCCCACAATATTATTCCTTATCTCATATTGTACAAAAATTATTCTCTATTGTATTAATTATTTATTACATTACGTAGGTATTGACGATGGTGGAATTTTGTCGATAAAATGAAATTTTTGACGAGTACTTAATGTTTTTTGTATTTTGTCATTATGTCAAATTAATGCACTTTATCATTCAGAATTTAGTATAGTTCTTTGTTCTACTTTTGACGCATTTATTATGTACGATAAAATTATCGATACGGGAACAATCATGTACATCACTATTTTTTAATGAAAATTGTTTTAGACGTATTTCAACTAAAATTAATGAAAATAAGCACTGCATTAGTTAGAAAAGTATTGTATTTAGTCAATTTGCAGCCACCACACTTGAATAGTTTGAAAAACAGAGATATTTTAATGAAAAATAACAGTACTTACCGATGTAATGTTACACCTGCCGGTTTAGTAATATTTTTAGTGCTACATCCAATAACACTGCACCCGGGCATAGTTCTTCTCACTAACCAATAATTTCTTTGTTTACCACGCACAAAAACAACAGGAATTCTACAAATTTTCGTAACAAAATATTGTTGACCAATGCTTTGACAGCTGATGTACCACTGACATGCACTGATAACAGGGACTAAGATGGCCAATTCGGCACAACTAGGTTTTTCTGATGACGTCAAAAAATTATAGCCAGAATGACAATAATGTGTTGTCTCTTTCTGCATAAGCAAAGAGATATAAGTAAAAAAGAAACAACAGTATGTTTATGAATTTACCGTCAAGATGGATCCTAAATTCTACCCATAGACAATAGCCAGACATCTATGTTATATTTATAAATCTATGATGCCAATGGCTTATTGACAGTTTATTTTTTTTATTAACATGATGTAACATTAAGAAGCAAAGAGGCTGAATACTAATTTTATTAACCACTGAACCTATTTGATCGAAATTCGGTTCAACGAGTTTGAGACACTGCCACTGTAAAGGAAATCTCACGGGACAGGAACTACCTCAGGTAGTTCCTGTCCCGTGAGATTTGATTAGATTTAGAGGTATGCATTGAAATTCCGGAACTCTCTGTTGCTTAAACTACTGAACCTATTTGAGTGCAATTCGGTACAACGATAGTATGTGACTCGGAAAATGAAGCCTGACGGCTGTACCTGTTTGATTGGACTTCAAATGGAGTTTTAATCATTGAAACCGTACGGGAATGAATACCATACGAGCAAAATCCCCGTGGGATTATTTATTTTTTGAAGTTATGAAAATAAACAACATTTCACAATAAATATCTATTACTAAATTGATTCTGATTGTCATTCATCATTGCAAATCACTGCACTTTACCTTGGAGAAGACTAAGGAAAAGATCCAAAATTTGCCAGAAGTCATTATTATACGCGGACGAAGTCGCGGCGAACAGCTAGTAACTTAATTATACACATGGTAAATCATTTATAATTATCTTTATTAGTCATGGGTAAAAAGCATCATTATAACTAACGTGTGGATACAATACTCTACATCAATAAGAAGTCGGTTAAATGTCAAAAGACAGAAATATTAGGAATAATGATTGATCCATATAACTAATAATTAATCTGAGCATCTAGGTGAGTAATATATTTCTATAATTCTCCTCTTAGTCCAAGCCATGTCCAACTTAACACCATCCGTCGTTCAATCATTATAAACTAAATAAGTTATTAGCATCATGCACAACAAAACCTTATACTCAATTAGCATAACGTATTTTCTGTTTGATATACTAGCTCTAGAGCTACCTATTTAAAATACTTTTTTATTATCTAGGTAACATGTACCTATAATAAAAGATATTAGGTAACTTACAAAGAATAAAGTATGTACTAAGTAAGAAGTAAACAAAAGCTCTACTAAATAAATGAAACAAAATATTTTTAACCTTGCCAAAGAACGCAGCGAAAAAGTACGATTTTAAAACAGAAGTGTTTAATTAGAAGTTTCGAGCACCCACCCACGTGTGCTGGATAGTAGTAGCCATGGAATTAAAATATCCAGGCATAACAGAAAATACTTAATTATACCAGTGTTGACGGTAAATCTAAATGGCGACATAAGTTGGTAAATCGTAAATGGAAGTATTTATCTTGAAACAATTCTTTCTTTATTTTGGGTGTTTACCAATCCATTTACATACATGCCAGGATGTATCACGGTGTCCTTGACTGATAAAAGTTGGTTTCAGTAAAATCTCTATTGGAAAACTTAACATTTACCATACTTCGAGCTTTTACAGTAACATCTATAACATTAAATTTCATCTTCTTCGACTTCCGTTTGTTCGCGATCTTTTTGTTTGCTTTCTGCTTTTTGGGCTTCTACTTGTTCGGCTTCTGCTTGTTCGGCTTCTGCTTGTTCAGCTTCTGCTTGTGCGGTTACTACTTGTTGGGCTTCTGCTTGTTCGGCTTCTGTTTGTCCACCTTCTGCTTGTTCGGCTTCTGTTTGTCCACCTTCTGCTTGTTCGGCTTCTGTTTCTCCGACTTTTGCTTGTTCGGGGTCTGTTTGTCTGCTTTCTGCTTGTTTATCTTGTGCTAATTCGGCTTCTGTAAATTCGGCTACTGCTTGTTCGTCTCCTGTCTTTTCACCTTTTGCTTGATCACCTTCTGGGCGTTCCTCTTGTTTTTGTTTGTCATCATTTTGTTCGCCTTCTGCTTGTTTATCTTGTGTTTGTTCGCCTTCTGTTTGTGGGCTTTCTTTTGGTGGAAGGTTAATTTGGACACTGGGTTTGTCCTTGATCCCACTAGATCGGCTTGATTTGTCTCGTCCCAGAATACTTGTGGAGATTCGTTCTATTAAATTTTTGCGTTCTTCCAATGACATGGTACTGTACTTGGGTTCGTGCTTCTCATGCGAGGATAGTGTAATACTTCTACCATGAACGTTTTGAGTGGCGATAGACACACGGGTTTGTAAACTTTTGTGATCCGACATAGTTGAGGCAGCCAAAATTGATTTGCGATCTGCAGATGGCCGATCTTGAGAGTCTAATTTACGTTTATGAACATAAGACGTTTCACTCTCAAGTGTTTTGCGGTCTGATGCAACGCTAACGATGCTTTTCTTGATCATCTGAAACAAGTTATTTAAAAAAAAATTTGAAGTAAGCACATACAAACTATTTTTTTTTAAAGAACGTTACCTACGAACATATGTATAATAATGGCATTTTATATTAAAACTACTAACCGCTTCAATGTCCTTGTCTCGCAATACCTTCTGAACTTCCTTTTGAACTTCTGAAGCTTCTGCTGGCTCGATTATTTGTGCTCTTAAAGCATCCAGTGCACAGTCGACGACTTGTCGCAAATCTTCAGTCGGCAGGTCAATACCACATTCTATAAACAATTATAAAACGTATAATTTTACTTATTTTATTGATCTGGCTCACCAACAATTGATAACACTTAAACAATATAGGGTTACATTTACGAAAACTTAAATACTAGTGCAACAATCTATTATAGGTAAGCACAACATGCATTATATACTTAATGGTTTACAAATGATCCGAGACAGGCAGATCCAACCATAGACATGGATTTAACATTCAAAATAACTAAGAAGAATCAGTACCGGAGACAAATTAAATATTAGTATTAATATTATAATCATAAGAATACACATGGGTTTAATTCTAAATTTTTTTTAAAGACTTTGCCCCACTCTAACATTGCCTGCTATGTAGTGGGTGGGTTTACATACACTGACACCCAGACTTGAAACAACAATTTCTGGATCGCACAAAGAATTGATCCGTGTACGGGAATCAAAACACGTTGTGCGGTAGCCAGTTGCTCAGCCACCGTGCCAACCGTGCAGTCAAGTAGGTAGTGATGTTCTCGTTGTAACCATGATGTTTTGGTATTATGTGCACATAAAACTACTTAATTATTCAGCATTCGGGAAACCAACAGCCATACAGCATGATTAAAAAAGAATGTGTCTACTGTTTAAGTAGACCAGGTAATCACATTTTTAGGCGGTAGAAGTTAACAATCACAGGCATATAACACTTAAATTACCTTTAATATCTTCAAGGAGGTCAAAGGAACAAATTCGGTCAACGCTGTCCTTTGTGATTGGATGATTTTCATCCGTGACAGACTTCACAAGGGATGCCAACGTTTCAGGATCTTCTGTAGTTGAGAAAAATAAAGGTATTAAGATGAGGAACTTAAAAGGTTCAAACTTTTGGATTCAGATGTAAGGTTGTAGAAGGTCATTTACCCATAGTCGTGAAGTGTGCGGAATGTAATAATGCTGCGATGGCTGGTCCGAGCCGATCAGCTAGTGTATCGGATTCTTCCGCCAAATCCCTTAGGGCGTCTTCTAAATCTTCTATAACACCTTCCGCATCGTCTGGGGCTTCCATTGCTTCTATCTAAAAATTCAAATGGGATTTGTGTATTCATGTGGGTAGGTTGCTATAACCGAATAAGCTAGACACTCCTTCAAATTTGTATCAGTTTATTTGTTGTACATAAAAAATGATATATTTTGTCTTTTTTCCGCAGAATAGGCGACCCGGTGAAATTAAGTCATTGAGTTTCGAAATAACCTATACTTGCCGAAGGGCAAGTATTGTAGTACTACCTATTGTAATGATGTATCAAAATAATAAAAGTAATTGTTTGTGTTCTCCTACTTGTTATACCATCTTTGTTGAAACGTAGAGACTTACATTTGTAATGTTTGTTTATCAATACATAGTATAAAACAAAGTCGCTTTCGCTGTATGCTTAGATCTTTAAAACTACGCAACGGATTTTGATGCGGTTTTTTTTAATAGATAGAGTGATTCTTAAGGAAGGTTTGTATGTATATACAAATTGCACCCGTGCGAAGCCGGGGCGGGTCGCTAGTGGTATATAAAAAATATAATTGTCTACGTATATTTTTAAAGATGGAATAAAGTTTAGTCTGTTTGTTACATTCACGTGTTTTGCTTATACTACCCATAGTCATTAAAATGAGTTGCTGATAATATGTGGGTATATAATACATTAATGGCACTTACTTGTTCTCTGACTAAACGATCTGTCAAGGCAGCCAAAGCATCAAATGCTCGAGTTTGTTTCTTGTACTGACTGGGGTCGCCACCAGATTTCAACAGCCACTTACGTACGGTCGTATCAACCAATTCATATCGAGAACATTTTCTGTTTCGTAAAAATGGTAACAAGAAATATAAAAAGAAATGATATGATATATCATAAAACATGCGATTGATTAATAAACTAGACTAGGACAGCAAGGGAAAAATCTTATGGAAATTGGATCAACACCGAGATCAACCCGTGGCAGTCCACTGTACCACGAGTCTCGATCCTCTAAGGGTTTGCTATAATCTCTACGGTCACCAGGTGGGTTAAAGACAAGATCGTAGTTCAGGTTCAGGATACCAGAGAGTGCTATTTCACGGCCACTCGCTCGCTGTAAATTGCACAATTTACACAATACATAACACGTAACATAACATCACGCCTTTTATCCCAGAAGGGGTAGGCAGAGGTGCACATTATGGCACTTAATGCCACTTTTCACTATTTATTTTATGAGTCCCATGTAATAGGGGGTGAGCCTATTGCCATTGCACAAATTACAGCATTTACAATTTGCGTGTATTAACACGCAGGCAGAGGAAGAGGTAAATGTGTGAGCCCATGACTTATGGACATATTACGAGATAACGAATGTTATACAAACCCGGTTACAACGTCAGGTAGTAATTTCATGACGTCAACCAACAGAAGCTCCGCATCGTCCCGTGAGACATGCATAGCGTCAAGGCAGTCGTATAACAGAGTTGTTATATTCACCTCACGTCCTAATTTCGTTCTGGAGCCTAAAGGCGTTCTGCGGGTAAACAGATCATAATACTATAGAAAGCAAAGATATGTCTTGTCCATAGCTTAAAGGCCAAAAATTGAAGTAAGCAATATATCTTAAAATTACTTCATAAACCATTTCTTTGAACATATTTTGGGTGAATTACATTGATATCGTTTGCTATAAAACTCACAATGGAAAATATTTTTTCCGGTGTTGCTGGTGGGACCGAGGAACCATGAACAGGTAAATGTCCGATTGCTCTGGCTCAGAAGGTGTGAAGGTCGCTGGTGCAGCCCTGTAGGACAGCGGCTTCTCGCGGAGACTTGCGATCTCTTCTTGTAGTTGCTGTTATCAATAAAATTACTGTCAATGGAAAATCCACTAAAAAATATAGCCATATAACGAGTATAGAGTAAGGGACACAATAATGGCCCGTTTTACAATCTCTGGATAACTATTAAAGTGTGGGAGAGCCATGCAAGAATGGGCCGGCTCGACCAGAGTGATACCACGGCCTCATAGAAAACCGATTTGAAATAACGCTTACGTTGTGTTTCGTCGTGTGAGTGAAGTTACCGGAAGCTCAATTACCCGAACTATAAATATTCCCCTACCCCCGAATTCCCAACAATCCGTAAATTTCCAATTCCCAGAAAGCCGGTAACGCACTTGTAAAGCTTCTGGTGTTTCAGGTATCCATGGGTGGTGCCGATTGTTTACCATCAGGTGATTCACCTCGTTTACTGGTTCATCTCATAAAAAATATGTATATACATATTACTAACTGTGAACTGCATTCACTGCATTGCACTCTTGTAGATACATACCTTAATTTGTTGTTTTTGTCTTTGTCGCACTATCAGTAGACGCATTACGTCACGCTGGTATATTTCCGGGTTGTAACCACCAGCCATATCAACAGGAATCTTCGTAGGCTGTTATGTTTAAACTTAATATTAAAATATCTTTTCTACAATCACGGTATAGGGCCCCCATACAAATACTTAAGATTTTTCCATTTTTGTCACAATCAACTTAAATATTACTCTTATACCAACCTTTTGAGGTAAAACTTCTGCTTGCAACGCTGCTGCCAATCGCAAGCGTTCAGAGTAGTGGTTTAGAGTTTTCAGATATTTCTTTTCGAGAGTACTGTGTCGCTCCTGAAAGTTATATACATGATTTTGTACTTACATACATAAAAATTGCGACTGATTCGATTAAGTCAAATATAATTCTTTATTTTTGAATGTGGACAAATAATTATTTGTAATAGTATTTTTTACGATTTTTTGGAGATCAGGATGATTCGCAGGTTTGTTAGTAAAGTACCTACAAGTGGGGGTAGGCAGAAACTGTAGAGCGCCATAATTTATTCATTAGTTTATTCCTTGGGCTTCCATCGCATTAATTTATCTCTTCACTTCGCAGCTGGCCTTATTCTAATGTACGTATTTTTTTTTCTTTTTGTTGACGAGGGGAGGTTGTAGATGGCTAACATTTGAAAAGAAATGTAAAGTGACGTGGCTACGTACGCTCCATGTGCGGAGCTGCGCTACTACGTGCGGTAGTGTGGCGTATGTGACCGCGTACTTGTGGCGGCGCGCCATTTGTCGCAGCAGGTCGTCGAGCGTGCGGTCCACCTTGCGCGGCCGGCCCAGCTTGCGCGTCAACACATCACGCATTTGCGCGCGTAGATCCGTCGCTTCTGCCTCCATCGCGCGCAGGTCTATGTTCATACGGAACAAGTGCGTGCGGTTTATCCTGCCGACGAATAAACCAAGTCACTAGGCCTTCTTTATAATAAAGGGAGGCATAACCACGCTTGGCAGTTAGGTTTGAAGATCGCAGTTTAAAATTAAAAGTAATTCAGAACTGACACTGTTTCACTGGCTTTCTTTTGTAAAGTTACCTTTGTCGTAATTTCTGTTCTTTAATCTCCTCCAGAAGTTCAAGCACTCGTTTTCTAAGTCGAGTTAGTAATGCTTCGGGAAATACCACAGTTTGCGACAGACCCTGAGGACCAGTGCAGCCGACGATAGCAGCTGCTCTGATCTGATCATACCGTAGGACCACTACAGTGTCCACTTCGTTCATGCAGGTTTGTTTCTCCAACTAAACAAAATAATAAATAGATATGATTGAATTAGCAAGCTGCGTTAATTTCTTAATATCAGAAAGTTCTATACCATAAATTCCCTAAGATCGTTCTTCCTCTGATCCAATTGCACGGAGAGTTTGCGCTTGATCTTGTTATGAGCCTCAATGTCACGCTTCAAAAGTTCCACCAGACGATCTTGCTCCATCATGTTCTGTTCATGCTTGTGTCTGTTGAGTCAATAAGATTAAAATATGGGAAGAAAAAGAAATGAGACGTTAAAATACTACTAAGTAAGTACGTATCTATCTTACCGATTACCGGGCACCTAACAAGTTGTAAGCCTAAGATCGTTCGTGTTGATCTACGATTGTACGTAATCAAGAAATACTATATTATTAACAAACCTGGTATTTCTCATTTCAAAAGTTTTGTCATAGGTTTCTCTGTCGCATCCCTCAGGACATATGTTGGGGTCGAGGCGTATTGGCCCGATGTCTCGACTGTCCAAACTGCCTTCATCTTCTTCTTCGCTTGACGACGACGATGACTCAGACTCGGAAGATTCTAGAAATATAATTTAAAAGGATTAAATAACATCTACATTAATCACTATCGTGAGATTAACTAACTACTCTGTAGGCTGTGCGTTATCGCCGCGACCACGCACTCTGCTCATAAGGAAGAGCCGCTCCGTGGCTCGAAACTAGTAAAGCTTTTTTCAGTATATTCACGTGAGTAACTCGCGTAATATAATTTTAAGAAACCCCTCTCTTTTTTTTAGGCAGGTGTGCAAATAGGTAATAATAATTACATATTATGATCTCAAAGGTATTTATACTAATCTGCACATTCAGGCTCGTTTATAAACTTGGGTCTAAACAAAAATATGAATGAAGCACTTATCTTACCATCATCATCACGAATACGTGGCGGACGGTATTTCTTTTTGAATATCCTTCGAAGGAAGTCAGCAAACTTATTGTCTTGTACAAGACGTTTGAATTTTCTCTGCAGGTCCTCACACATTGCGCCCAGGTTATCCTTCTCAGTTATATGTTCTTCAATGCGGTGTTCACAGTCTATTATTTGCTCCTGTACGGCTCGCACCTGGAATCCACAATGCTCTTATGTTGTTTTATTCTAAACTTATTTATATGTTTATATTATAAGTTGTGTTTTATATAACACGCATTGTACATATCTTATTTGCTTTCGTTGATTGGTAAGATAAGTTCCTACATTTTGCTTAAAACGGTCAAGTTTGTGAGTAGTGTAATAAAATCGTCACCTGCATCAATTTGACATAAACTCGTTCAGCCAATCGATCTTCATGCATTTCGAACCTATTCAAAACGTTCATTTCTCTGTGCAACTGATGTAAATGCAGCTCCAATAATAGGCTCTTTTCCTAAAAAAATATTGTTTATAGGGTTTAATATTAAGTTTACCATATTATATTTAGCTTTATCGCACAAAAATTGGTGTCAAATTAATTTATTATTTATTTTACATGTTTGCCAACTCTGAATTTGAATGATTTAGAAGGGAGAACGATCTTACGTATATTACGTAATATGAAGTATCTAGTTTTATATTATATAGCATATGTATGCTTATATCTTTACAAAATTGTATTAAAACCTGGACTCTTATACGCTCCCGTTGTAGCTCTTTCAATCGGGAGTCAAACAGCCTCACTTGGTCATCTGCGTCCATGAGTAACATGTCTTGTTCGTATAGATGTCTGTGTAAAAAAAACGTTAGAATTAGTAAAATATCCTAAGTTTTATTTACTTTTTAAGGGGTACCGGTATACGAGCACACGGATCTACCTGATGGTAAGAATATGCCTCCGTTCTAGTCTTATCACAGAAATATAAAACTTCATTTACTTACTATATCTATGAGTCTAACAAGTAACTAATGTGGTTAGTAAATAAAAGTCTATGTCCATAAATAAACTGCTATATATTATAACTAATATACTTCAGATTTATATTGTATTTGTATAATACTTATTGCTTAAGTTCACCTTTCGATACGTCTCTCACGAATTTCATTTTCAACAGGAGTCGATTCGTGATCTTGTCTCTGTCTCAAAAGTTCCCATGAAGCAAAAAGGGGTCTTGATTCTGAAATAATTATGTAAAACACCGACTAGGTTTACAGACCGGACAAAATATAAATAACCAGTTTTAGATGCGTAAAAATATTTTACTTTTGGTTATTCTTGAAAATGATACCATAATGTAATCGAACATAAAGCTAAAATGTAGATCAGACAAACGTTTTTATAAAATAGGACGTTCTAAGATATCGAGAAATTGTATGACAAGGACACGGATCAAGAGTCCGTGGAGAAATAATATGTAACATTATAAAAAAAGATATGGATATTATGTATTTTGACATAATATACATATATAATATACAATCCACAATTATGAAATCATCAATGTCCTGACCTCCCAACGTCGTATGCCGTTGTAATTTCTCTGGTGTTGTGGCTGTCCATGTCCATGGGTGTCGCCGATTATACTACCGACTATACTTAATGTATGCAACTTTTACAGTTATGTTAGATATTTACTATTGACGGGTACAAATCTGTTAACTCTTGGCTGACGTACTCTCGCGGTAGGATCAATCTTACTCAGGGAGGTTCTCTTGCGCTCCTGTACTAGTTGCGATTTCTTATGCGGCAGTCTGCTCGTTGGGTATATTGGTTCTGGTTTTACCTTAAAATCAAGAACTGACCTCAGTACTTATATCAAATCCTATCAGTGAGTAATTTCATTAACGACATAGGTACGAACCTATTTTCAATATTATAATAGCACTGCGCGCTGTTTCATGTGTGCTCTTTCAGTGTAAGTACTAGAAAGAAGCGACAGTAACGAAACCCACCGATAGATTCTGATGATTATAAATTAATGTAACTGGAAAATCATTATTTACCTACAGTAGTAGTATACTAACTTCAAGATGTCTCTCAGGAAATTCCAGTTCGTCGTCAAATTGCGGCAGGGGCGGCGGTGGCTTAGCAAATTTAGGAGGTATCTCTATTCGAATTTCGGATAGTCGTTCTCCGATCTCCTTCATTCGTTGTAACATTTGTACTTTACGACTCCGCAGCTCTAACACTTTTTCGTTGAATTCATGTTTTAGGTCGTAGATCTGAGTAAAAAAGATAATAATTCAGTAATCTATCCTTTAAAGTAAGAAAAAATATTATACTCAAGGTGGCGACAACTGATTATGAAGTCCCATAATAAAGTTGTTGAATACATTTAAGTTTCATGTTTAATAGTCCGTTCACTGTGCGTGCATTTTTATTTTTAAGCTTCCAGATCAGCGCTCGATTGGCACATTCGCTTTATGTGGACGCAGCTTCATTGATACCTTTACTAGGTTCATACTCTTTTTATTATGTCACTTACAAAGACATACTGACCTCTTTCCTGCAGAGGCAGACTCTCATCTGCGTATTATGACCAGGTGGTGCGACATAGTTGGGGTCTGTCTTGAGTATGCGGTTGCCGATGGTTGCTTCAGCTTCTTTCAGCGCTTCAGCAGCTCCAGGAGGCATAGCGTTAGGGTCCGGTTTACGGTTCAAATGCTCTTGCCACTAAATGCACAAAGCAAAAATACATTTTCGGATATATTTGATAGTGGTGAAAACTACCAGGTTCCTACTTATTGATAAAAATGTAGATAGTTACCCTTTCTGTAATTCTGTATGAAATAAAAGGTAAGAGTGTGTGTGAGTCTATGAGTTGAAAAAAGGGACTTCAAAAATATTTACGTACCTCTATATACTGGATATGGTGTCTGTTTAGACGGACGTGGTAGTTTCTGAGGGCTTTCTTCAGAGGGTATGGTGGCCTTGGAGGTAAACCTAGTAAGAATGAAGCAACTCTAGGAGGTCCATACGATGTCTTACGTGGACCCACACGACGAATCGATGACTCCGTTCGCCTAGTTTAAAAGTACGTAATTTAAATAAAGCATGTGTAGCAGTAGGTGCAGGTCATACATTTACACATGTACGCCGACGACGTAATAAAATTAGAGAAAAGAGAAGAGGGAGAAACACACAAAGTGAAGAAGCGGAAAGCTGTATCCAACGCATTACGTGTGTAACCATTAACCTTTTACGCACACAAAGTTCTAAATACTCATATCCAACTCCACACTACATAGCATAATATTTTGATACTTGGTCTAGTATATGAGGAGGTATGTTGCATGCAAATGCAAATTTTAGGTTACTTACTTTAGTTCTTGTTCAGCTAATTCCAATAAATTCATATCCCTAAGCCGCATGTACATTCACAAAATACACGTTAAATAACACGTAGACTAACGTGTAACATGTTTACGTAGACTAACTAAAAATATCGATTTACTCACGTAAATATACTGAGAAAAGCTCTATTAGTTTCGAGTCACAGAGGGACTCTTCCTCATGAGCAGCGTGCACGATGCGGTGACGTCGCGCAGTATCAATATCTTCTCAGTATATTCAAGCGAGTAAATCGTTAATTTTACTTAATTTAGCATGTCTCGCGATAAATATGTATTACGAAAATATTTACGAAAAGTTCACAAAAAAAAAAAAGAATTTGCAATGATATTACCTTCCTTTCAGTGCGGCTTCTGCAAGTTTTTGATATACTTCTTCCAATTGTGCATAGAAAGCAGCAGAGAGATTCTTTTGGCGCAATGGTCTTATTATTATGTTTGGATTGCTATATGAGACAATATAAAAAAGGTTTAGGATTCATTAAACAGCCGAATTAAGGTGACATAGGTGAAAAAAATATGATTCTTCCTTCATCAAAATATTATGATCGGATCTATAATTAATCTCCTTCGTATTGGCAGAACAGTTGGCGGGTCAGGTAAGATGCGCTGTCGGGCCATAATTCACTCATTACTGATTTGCACAGTATGAAGTATGTTGATTTCGCAAGTACAAAATAAATAGTTGAAGCTAAATAAGAATAATATTATAATATAAGAAACTAACCCGATAGCTCTCACGGTGAAAGGATATACGTCCAACTGTATGATATTCCTAGAATGCATCTTTGCTAAACCCAAATCGGAGGCTTCCAACTGATGTGCTAATTTTCTTATAGTAAGAGCTTTGGCATCTTCAAGCTCTCTCTCTTGTACTTGTAAGGGTCGTCTGTCGAGTGTTACATCTATTTGTTGAGAGTAGGGTAATGCTTTATTCCTACAACAGATTAACATAACGGTAAAACGGGGTGAATAGAATTCACCCCATCTTGTATCTATTCACCCCGTTTTACGGTAACTAATTTATGTATGAAAGCCTATGAGACAGTGATTGAAGTTTTAAATTATGTAAAGAGAAAGGGCTATAGATTAGATAGCGTATCTTTGTAGAAGATATTATTTACATAATAGGTAGTTAGTCGGATTTTTATTTATTATAACAATAGATTACGCTTACGCTTTAATCAGTTTGTTGTATTCAGTTGTCAGATCAGCGAGTTGGTCGCGAACACGTTTTTTATGTGCATTGGCGATCGCCATCATTTTGTCGAATTCCTCTTTCTGTTTCAGTTGTTCGTGAGACATCATCTCACCTTCTACCGTGCTGTGTTCCTTTATTTTTTCTACTTTCTGTAACATAAATACAACATTATTGCAGTCTATAACTTAGATTTTACTAATGAAAATTTGTTTGTGCTTACAGGGGTTTCTCGAGGCGTTGGAAGTTCTGGTATGGGTAACAATTGTTCTGGAAAGTTGATGACATAAGAGAATATATTTCCGTCACGTCCAGCGGTGTATAGGCGACTGAAAAAAGTAAATGGATAAAAATATCTATATTTATTTATTATTAACTAGTTACTCCCATGCTGCTCGGAGAAAATAATTGCTGAATTCGAAGTAGTTCCGGTGATTAACGGGTTCAAACAAACAAACTCACCAGCTTTAGGTATATTAAGTTATAGATTAATAGTTATTTAACCCGTCGTGTGTCTTATATACCGGCAGTCAAGAGTTTTATAAATATTTCATACCTCGAATCGCAGTTAAATTCCAGGACAGTGATAGCTCCAGTATAACGGTCGTGCATCGGTAAGTAATAATAATCTACGAAGTCTATGCGAGGAATTGGTTGTAACTGAAAGTAAGGTGAGATCAAAGAAAGTAAGGTTAACTTCAACTCTTCCATTACTATATTTAATAAACAAGTTTAAGTCCTCCGCGGCTCCGCATCGGGCATCTATCCTATAGGACACTACTATTCTATTTAGTACCAACTATACTATAGACCTCTCTACTCGGCCATAGTACGAGTTTGTTTTACGTTTAAAGTAATCAAAAAGAAACTGCGTTCGGTGCTCTGATTGGCCGGCTCCAATGAACCAACCAATCAGAGCGCCGATTGCATACTCGTTTCGATTACTTTAAACGTAAAACGAACTCGTACTAAGGCCTCTGGTGTCCATTTGGACGAGGCGAGTACCTTTCTAAAACTAAAGCTGTATGCATTTAGTTGGAAGCGGCGATTGGTTGCGCCGCCATCGTGTCCCGATGAGATATAGCCCTAATACTTAAAAAATATAGAATTTCAATTTATTATTAAGAGCAACCTGTTCTTTAGCCAGCCTTCTGCCCTTTAGTTTTCTCAACAGCTTCTGTTGTGCGGTCATCCACAAGTTTAAATGATGTTCAGGATTATCTTCTTCCTCAGTGGGCATGCGAAACATACGTATGTATCCCGTATTTGTTCCAACAACGAGGTAACGTCCTTCACATCTGTAAATAAATAGGCACGTACATATGTCTATGATTATGAAATAATCTTTGTTTATTGTTACTCCTTCACGTGAAAACGGCTGAAGGGATCGAAATAAAATATGGAACAGAGGGCTTAACACGAGTTTGGTTTACGTTTAATGAGGTCGACACGTTACTACGTTTAGACCTCTGATCGGTTGGTTCATTCGAGCTGTTCGGTAACGTTTCGAACTCGTTAAATCTAAAATAAATTCATATTAAGCCCTCTGGGATAGATTATGGTATGTAATAATATATAGCCAACTTTTTATCTTACGGAAACGGAAACCGGTGAAACCGGTGAAACCGGTGGAAGAAGCCAGTAGAACCATAAATAAATACAATTTACGAACAAATCTGACATGTCCACTTACACAAATCTTAATGCCGTCATATCCTCACACCAGGCTCCAGGGAAAGGTGCGTACTTGATTATCTTGTTGGTGCCTGGCTGGATGAGAAGTAGAGCTCCTGTCCCTTGTTGGACGATCCACACTCCTTCTTCACAATATTCGGCCCAAGTAACTGTTGTGCCCAACATACTCTCACTTTCCACTAAAATAAGTTAAAATATTTTACAAGTCAGGAGACATAGGTATCTAGCATTAGGATAATAAATAAAAATGGTAAAACAGGGTTCAGAGATACTAAAACAATTTTCAAATTTCAATTCACTTACTCTCTCCTTTAATTTTATTTAAAAACCCTATGTTGCAGCCATAAAAATGAAATAGTCACATACACATGCAACGGAATCAAACTCAAAAGCATTTATTTCAATTAAACCATAATTTGGTGCTTTTGAAACTTCAAACAATGTATAATAAACAATAGTCTGTCCGTCATTGAATCGCGCTCGTTCCAAAATGTAGATTCGATTGGAGAAGAACGGGAAAGAAATTCTATTCGTTACTCTTTAAAAAAAAGTCTGTTTTACAATGGTCTGATACATATTCCAATATTGTACACATATGTGAAAATAATGTAAAGACACACCTGGCGCATCATACAAACTACAGAACGTACTTAAATAAAAAACAAAACGAAGAGAAAAGAAAAGAGAAATAAGAGAAAAGGAAGAAGAATAGTGAATAAGCTATGGACTTACTCAATTCAACTTCACCGATCCATTCGCCTTCATCCTCTTCATCCTCTCGAAGTTCAGCCTCTTCTTTAGCCTTTAGAGCTTCTTCATCAATGCTAGCGAGATCTTCTTCTTCCGGGAAAGGTTTGTGGCGCATACTACCGATTTCAACATAGTGTTAGATCAAAAATAACAAAACTAGAAAAGGTGCTAAAGCATAGTATTTATTAGTTTTTACTTACAAGTGTTTTTTCACTAGGGTTTCTTTGTACGACTCAAATTCTAACTTAAAGGTTTTAATGTCAGTGTAAGTGCGAACTTTTGGTTCCGGTAGTACAGCTTCCATTAAAAGGCCTACTTGACCACAAAGCAGGAGTACTCGGTCCTAAAATTAAAATCTTAAAGTCAACGAACTTAAGCAATTTCATGTTTTCAATAATGTAGTAGTATATATTTATATTTCTTCTTCTTTATATTCTTTCAGTAAATGTGTAAAGAAAGAGGTAGCTGTAAACAGAATTAAGGCTGGGAATTGGATGTTGCAGGGCCTCGCGCCGTTTTGAAGAATTAACCATGGAATGGAGTGCGGGAGTGGTCTTCAGCAAGTTGTCATAATGATGATGGTACTGGTACTGAAAGTATCTGGTAGTACTTACGTATACGTTTTCATAGGTATATTGTCTTACTCACAGTGTCAGGTTTCCAGGTCATAAAAGCGATGTTATTAGGCGTTTCAACGAAACCTATTCTCTCAAGAGTGAATGGAGTTCCTTGTTTCAATAGATAAATGAATATGGTGCTATCTTCACCACAAGTTACTAGTAGAGTGCGCTGTTCATTTATCGTTATTTGAGTTATTGCTTTTGAGTGCGGTTTTAGTAACTGTAAAAATAAAATAAAAAGAAGACTATGATTCTTAAAGAGTATTTGAAAATGAAAATCAATGGAAAAAAATAATCTTATAGCTACTTATTGGCTTATTATCCGAATTACACGCAAATATTTTATTATTAACTTCAGTCTAAATTATTGTATTTAGGCCTATTGAATATGAATATTTTTCCCTTACCGATATCATATCTATTACGTCAGCATGAACGGAGTCTTCGCTATGGATGGTCAATGCTGAGTGCACACGTACGTCAATCATACTCGTCCGAGCTTGGAGTCTATCGGGGTGCAGTAGTAAAGTTCGCATTGTGCCATCTTCGAAACCCAAGATCAAAAGGCGTGAGGTTTCATCAACCTGCGATTTCCAGAATTTATTTATTTTCTTAGTAATTGCGCAGTATTAAAAATCTAAAAAAGTGGGGAAATCCTAATCTACCACAAAGAAAAAGGGATTAGAATAATTTCATCGCTGCATCTATTTCAGAATTAACATAAAAATAACTACTTACATCCAAGGGAGGATAAAGAAGAGTAGTTATTGGTTTCGGGAAAAGATATCGTGCAAGCAGAATGTGATTGTCTGTGTCATAAGCATGCAATGCTCCGTCTTCACCCGCCGTGATCAGTAGTGGATGCGTCCGCACTGCTGCCATAGCCACAACACCTCCAGCATGACACGTTATCACTTTACGATGATTGCATTCAATTTTATCAATTTCCAATTCAACAATCCATATACCTCCGTTGCCGTCCTATGAAAAAATAATAGCTTACATGCCTATCATGTGTCCAATCAGAGAGTGTTGAAATACTCACCTGGGCGTACCACAACAAGTCATTTTTGTGTTTCAAGGACATTATCTGACAACCCGGCACCTGTAAACAATAGGTCACCATTGTAAATAGCAGTAATCTTAAAATTGGTACAGTACTAATTTAAAAATTGATCTGTAATTTGAAAAGGCTGCACTTGCTTTTGTCAGTTCCCTTTGTAATAAGTTTACATTCATTACCAATCAAATTAATTTAATTAATTTAATTTCAATCAATCAAATTAATTTCCATTTCATTCCAGAACGCGCCCTATAACACTACGACGATAATATACCAAAACAGAATAAGAACAGACTTAAACGAAAATAAAGTGTTAATTCGACAGAATACGAACACAAGTCTCGGCTACAGGGTTCAGTTCAACAAAAGGGTCGTCTTCTGGGGGATCAGCTTGGTCTACCGTGTCCCAGTACCATGCACGGACACAGCCATCACGAGCTATCGTTGTCACTTCATCACCAGCTTCGCTCAACATGAATTGGATCTGGAAGGTTTTAGAAAAATGTAAGGCAGTGTATTTGAAGAACTTATGATGGCAGAGACGATTCGTGTAGTGTTTGTAAGGTAGGCGAATACTGTTATATGCATTAGCTGTAGAATTATGGATTCCTACTTGTCAATATGTTTATCTACTCACAATTGGAGCATTATGACAGACTTTTCGTCCTCTTTGCGTCACTTCTAATTTTACGAGACCAGCCTCCCAAACCAAAATGTTACCCCATTCACATCCCGATAGTACCTGAAAATAAAAAAAAAATCAAATTGGAACGACTTTAATTTCTTAATTAGATCTTTTAGTTAGAAGAATAGTCATTTTATTACCTTTTCGTCGGGCATTGGATAAACACCAAGGACATCACAGATTTCAGTTTTCCCGAATCTGCCAAGTTCTCCTTTCAATTTAAGACCAGTAAATGTTTGTGCCATTTTCCAAAATTTTATGTGAGCAGCGCCTAAAATATGTAATTAGATACTTAATAAACACATTTTTAAAAAATCCCGTGTCATCATGGGGTCATTCATAGGAATAGTGGTCAATTACCTGCAGTAGTGAGCTGTCCTTCACAATATGGTGAAAACATGACAGTATGAACTCCATATGTAAATGCACTAGTGCGTAGAAGAATTTTATGACGTTTCCAGTTCCAAATGGTCAAATTGAAATCTGGCTCTTTACCCACAGACGCCAGCAGTTCTCCATCAGGGCTAGATATAGGTACACATATGAAGAATGATTATTATTGTAATTTTTAGGATAGGATAATTTATAATGTCCAATGTTTTATTGAGCTGAGCAAGATTTTACCTCTCCTAGGGTACCATGGCTTTCTTTTTCTTACTCTATCACGAAAGCTTAAATAATAGTTGTTATGTCGGGGCGGGTCGAGTCGAGTGTAGTACTACTAAAAAGCGTCACTTGGTTCATTTTGCAAAGTTTAAATAATAATCGGAATTCCAAACAGTATGACGTCAAACACCATACTTGAACACCACACCAAAAAAAACGTTCAATAAATGGTTCACTTATAAAGTATTTTCGCCATTACTTCATATCTTCCAAAATAAAAATAGTGAACTAGATATATGTAGGTACCTGAAATCAAGAATAGCATATCCATTCGCGGTACCATCGCGAAGAACCGCATCCATTTCCATTTGAGGCCAGGTATACATAATTATTAATGGCTCTTGGTTGCCTTCTCTGTCCTCTGCTATCACTATACGGTAGTTGGGGTCTTTTCTGTAAGACTAAACATAGAAAATATTATGCAATAGTAATAGTAATGAAAATATGATGTATAGATAATACAAAAAAAAAGGAACCACTCGTCCTAAGTCATTAAATTGGCTAGTATCCTAGGTTAAAATAAATAAATAATTGCAAAATACTCTCATCTATTGACTCGACAATTTACCTAGTTTTGGATTTTTTTCTCGCTAATTTGAAGGAAATAAGTATGATATTTGACGCACAAATATGATGACGTCATAAGTTGCGGTCCAATACAAAATTCATAGAAAAGTATCGTTTTTGACATTTTACAATAAAAGTATTGAATTTGTCAACCTGTCAACTACCGTATTGTTCGAGATCTGGGTGCATGGTGTGTCATCATCATCAACAGCCTATAAATACTCACTGCTGTGCAAAGCCTCTTCTCACATGGAGAAGGTTTGAGCATTAACCACCACGCTTGCTCAAAGCAGGTTGGTGATTAGGTACAAACTTATACTTAATTTATTAGAAATTATAAGCCCAGGTCTTCTTACGATGTTTTCCATCGCCGTTAGTCAGTGGTGTCTAAATAATCTTAGAAAGTACATATAACTTGAAAAAAGCCACATTGGTACCTGCCGTTGGTAGGTTTCGAACCCGCACCCTCATGTATGAGAAGCGGGCGCCTTAAATCACCAGGCCACCACGACATATGGCGTGTGTGAAGAAGTATATTTGTCAACGCGCACATGACGCAGGATAAAATACTAGCGTAGGACAAAGCTTAAAAAAGTTTAAACACAGTTTAGCTATCACTGAATGGTTGGCGCGGTGATAGAGCAACTAGCTGCCGCGCAACGTGTCGCGGGTTCGATTCCCGCACGGAACAACTTTTTGTGTGATCCATAGATTGTTCCGGTTCTGGGTGTCATATGCACATACATATGTGAACTTGTATGTTTGTAAACGCATCCACGATACAGGAGAAAATCCATGTTAAAAATCAATGTAGGGCAACGTTCTATTACATCAATCTTTTATTACTACCGAGATTGTGAAAACACTCGTGTCTCAATCAAATTCGCATCATCACAACGCCTAGTGCCTATTTTGCATTAAACTGTCAAACACCAAGCGGTCACCGGTGACCGCAACCTATTGTTCTATAATTGTGTCTACAAAACCGGTACTCGACGAGTTAATTGTGGGTAATTTTGATAGCTGTTGTGTTGTAAAAAAAGTTATTTTTATTTACCGTTATACTTCCAACTGTTCCTCCGGTAGTGCTTCGTCGAAACCATGTCTGTTTAGTGTTCACGTCCAAGAAAGTAATCATGCTGCCTGATGAAAAGCATACGACCATATCGTCGCACGCGCAGAGGTTAAAAAACTTATGACAGTTGTAACCGTAAGAATATCTTTGTTACATTTAAGGAAAATCTTAGTTTATTCATGTTTATCATTAATTATTAGATTAGTTTGATCAGCAGCACAAGTAAAATAAGAAATCTATATATATAAAAGAAAGTCGTGTTAGTTACACTATTTATAACTCAAGAACAGCTATATCGATTTGGATGAAAATTGGTGGGGAGGTAGGTTAGAACCAGGAGACGGACATAGGATACTTTTTACCCAATACTTATTTTTTACTTTTAACCGAAAATCATGAACGGCTACGGGAAATATCGGGATTGCGCGTACGAAGTCGCGGGCAGAAGCTAGTTGTTCATAACTGAAACTCACTGAAAGGTAGATAGTGAATTGGGTGTTACATGATTTCTCAAGCTTTGCATTTCTGAACAACCTTGTCGAAATGTTAAACACTGAATTCCAGAATGCTCAACGCGAGTTATTTTATTGCAATTGAAACATTACCACGCGTAGTCCTCTGAGGCCCTGATTGATTGGTTAACATGGAGCTGGTCAGTCAGTGGACTAACACGGTAATATTTACCCACATTTACAGGTACCCAGAAAGTCGTTAGTATCAATAGGCAAACATTTTTCTATCATTTTTATTTGAAAAGGATACTCGAATTCGAATATATCAGTCGGAATCGTTGACTGCGGGCTACTGACTGCCCCCGAAATATAGTCGTCCGGGTCATACATGGTCAATATTGATTCCGCATCTTCATACTCGCCTTCGTATTCTCCTTCTTCATCTGTCTCTTGATACTCTTGTTCTTGTTCCTGTCCTCCTTCTAACATGGAACAATAATATATAAAATTTATGAAACCACGATGCGGCTCCTATATCCCACCTATCAAGAATCTTCAGTAGGTATATGTATATCGGTATTGTTTCATCCCTCTACTTCGGAAAATACGTAAAATCGTTGTTTGGTTGTTTGATTGCCATCTCACTTAAAACGCGAGATTGAGCAAACAGTGTCTCCATGGACAGTGCTCTATAAGTACTATTTTGCGCATGAGTAGGATTAATTGGCTATTTGGTTGTAAACAAACGGATATAGGTACTCAATTTCTTACCCAGTATTTCGCCTGTAACGTCTTCATCGAATTGTTGTCTGTCGTCTTCAATGTTTTCTTGTTCTTCAACAACATTTTTTGGTACTTCAACAACATTTTCTGGTACTTCAACAACATTTTCTGGTACTTCAACAACATTTTCTTGTGTTTCAATAACATTTTCTTCTGCTTTTACAAAATTTTCTTGTGGTTCATCAACATTGTCTTGTGCTTCATCAACATTTTCTTGTGGTTCATCAACATTGTCTTGTGCTTCATCAACATTTTCGTTTGCGTCTTCTTCCTTGTCAGACATTTTAAATAACTTTTACTTCGCGATAACGAACAGAGAAATACAATGTACTTTGTTGATGGTTTTGTCAATAAGTAAACATTATACTGTTGCTAGGATACACATGACGCTTGATTTAAAATTTTACTCTTTGAGTGCGTCACGCGCGTCACGTTACTGTTTATTGTGTTTGATTTCGTGTACCTACACCCTTATGTTATACTCTTTGGTAGATACTTTTTCTTAGTTTTTTTTTAACATTTTGGTTTTGGTAGATACTGCTCATATACTGCTACATGAATACCGAAACCAAATGTAGATTTTTGTTTCATTTCAAGCTGAAGGCTAATTTAATAAAGATCGTATATAATAGGATGCCTCTTAACTCGTCGAGTACCGGTTTTGCAGACACAATTATAGAACAATAGGTTGCGATCACCGGTGACCGCTTGGTATTTGACAGTTTAATTAAAAAAAACTATAGTTATTTATTGCATGAGTTCAGAAATATGTATAACAAAGGCAGTCTCATACTAACCACACTTTGATATTTGTTCGCAATTTGCCTTATTAGCAAAAATGTTTCATTTTATCAAAATTAATAAAAAAATTATTATTAAAAAAACAAAATACCCGACTGCACACTAAAAAAAGAGTAAAACAAGCCCCACAATAATATTGATCAATCAAATGCTAAAAACTAATTATGTAATACCGTTTAAACAATACCTATATTAAAATACACTACAATATGTGTTCGTAATCGATAGTTAAATAAACAGAAACTTATTTTGAATACAAATTTACTGAATATAATTTATAAATGTTGATGGAATGCATCGCAGGCGGGGACCAACAGAGGCTTATTTATAGTCATTTCGGTTGTGCACCATTTAGCAGAATTTTCGTTGGTGGCGGTCAAGGTGGTCCCCGCCTGCGATGCTTTCCATCAACATTTATAAATTATATTCAGTAAATTTGTATTCAAAATAAGTTTCTGTTTATTTAACTATCGATTACGAACACATATTGTAGTGTATTTTAATATAGGTATTGTTTAAACGGTATTACATAATTAGTTTTTAGCATTTGATTGATCAATATTATTGTGGGGCTTGTTTTACTCTTTTTTTAGTGTGCAGTCGGGTATTTTGTTTTTTTAATAATAATTTTTTTATTTATAACTTTTTAGCTGTTTTTATTTCGATATATACAAATAGGGATATATCGAATAAAATCGCTATTTAGAGACGACCGTCAACGACGTGTGCCCTCATGCGTGTGCCCGCAATCGGGCTGTATACTCGAGCATATCCCCCTCCGCACCGCGCCGCGCGCCGCATGCCAGGCCACGCCCTATCTTTTTGCTTGCTAACGCATGAGTTGCTTTGCGTTGACGCAGAATTAACATGTTCCCGTGGGAATTTTGAGAAAAAACGTATCCTATATTAATTACTCCCGTGATTGAAATGAATCTAATGATACCGCATACATATTTTTTTAAAGGGAAATTTAGAAAAAATATTATTATGTCTTTATCCCGTGGGACTTTTAGGATAAAATGTATCCTATGACACTCCCGTAATCAAGACAAATCTAACGATACCTCATACATCAAAATCCATCAAGCCGTTTAGGCTACAGGTGGTCACAAAGGAAAAGACATACATACATACTTACATACACTCGAAAAACATTACCCTCCTTCTTTGGCAGTCGGGTAAAAATGGTTTAACTTAATGAAAATTAACGAAACTCACGGTAGCGAAGAAAATTTTTTTTTGATGCCTTTAGATTATTATTTTTTAATTTTATTACTTTTACAAGGTGTAAATATTTTAGTTTTTAGTTATTTATATTTTAAGTTGCATATATTTATTTAATTTAAATTCTTATCAATAAACTAGATGTCAAATAAAAGAAATGGCTACCTAATTGACTCCTTTTTTATTGTCGATGACTAATTGATTTTTTGTGTTATATTGGGAAGACAAAATAAGAATAAGAGTCGAGATACTTAATATAATTAGAGAAACTTTATATAGTACCTACAGGTGCTTGAAACAATAAAACGAATAAGTGAAAGTCAGAAAATGTATTATGTAAATCATTACACATGTAAAAGTATTACAATTATCAGTAAAACGTGAACATTTGACCTGCAATTACCAGTCAAATGTGAAAATTTTGAGCTTAACTAACAGACTAAGTAATACATAATAATAGTCTTGATAAGTAACTACTACAAAAGGATTAATATCATTCACACACATATCTTAAATCTGAAATTGGTATTTCTTAAAAATACTTCTTATTATAATAAGTAGGTACTAGTACATTAATTGATATGAACAGTAGGTATTTATTAACTCGTCGAGTACCGGTTTTGCAGACACAATTATAGAACAATAGGTTGCGGTCACCGGTGACCGCTTGGTATTTGACAGTTTAATACTGAACAGGAAACTAGAACTAGTCGGTGTGTCTTAAATCGATGATACATAATCATAAAAAAGTTAATACTGGGTCTTGAAAACTTTTGATTAATACTTATTTAATGTAAAAAATACTTTTGGTAATTTTTGAAAGAGATTCTATTACGTATAAAAATCATATTATAAAATAGTAGGTATTCCGCAATAATACGAATTGCTGATGAAAAATTCGTTTAAAACGTAATAAATGGAAAAGATCTAATCAATTTCATTGTGCTAAATATCACATTACACTATGGACCAGTTTCTTTCGATATCATACGTGGCTACTCCGGAAACCTATCAAGCCTAACGTATATAAATAACACAACCATTAGGTAGATACACACAGTCAGTTTCCGAATTATGTAGGTTTCTTGACCTACATAGGTAATTCGAAATGACCTTTCCAATAATGTAGATGAAAAAGATTAAATTGCATATTTTCGTGAATACCTGGTATGGAAACTTAAGCTCATTCGGAAACCGAACGTGTGTAGTCTCAAAAATACTGACTGATAAACTTGAGCATTCGACGGTTTGCTTGTAAAAATGTTTGTATATAATTATTAATAGCAATGTTTCACTTTGACAAAAAAATCGGTTCTATTTAAAGTGAATGCTCGGATCTATCAGTATTTAAAATATGTTTACAGCATCTTCTTAAAACCTAAGCGAAGCTAATTAAAACGAATGCCCGATCATCGCGCGAGAAAGCGATGTGACGATTGCGTGTTCGCGCGATGGCAAAAACGCGGCGCGGTATTCTATCATCGCGCGAATTGACAACACGAGCGAGCGACTGAGGTCCACGGTCGCTAGATCCACGGGACACGATCGATACCAGCAACCATTTCGCAAGAATTTCAAATAGGACATGAATAGGTGTCTCTAGGTGTTAGTTTAATTACATCTGCACACGTTCGCACAAGTAAAATTCGCGCGAACTAGTGATGATCGCACATTTGTATTCTGGGCTGAAACTGCGTTAAGTAGGTATTATTATTTTTAAATTTGAATATGTCTACTTAGAACATAATTTATATAAAGTACCTACTAAGTCTCATTTTTACTTACCATAAAACATAAAAACACGTCATAAGTAGATATTTATTATTTGTCACAAGTCTTCTTAATTTTAATCACATGATTAATTATCTAAGACTTAGATTGTAGGTCATTCTGGATATGGACTTACATAAAAATTATTAATCACAATTTTTTGCCAACGACCTCAAATTGAGCGTAGACGGTGATAAATTTAAAAATTTGAACATAACCTTTCGTAAACGATAACAACGATGCTTTCAGTACCAATGTGTAAATAACCTAATTCATACCTAATCACTTTGTCGCCCTAATCTCTATAAGTAAAATTAAGAAATAAGATGAAATTTTCAAGGGTTTTTGGGTGGAATTTCATTAAACCCTAATTGGCGATTACTTTGACCAGTGAAGTAGTCATGATTTATAGGAAATACAGGGTATCTGTAAGTGAGTTGTGTGGCGGGCAGTGGAGACTGTTTGCTGCCAAGAACGCCAGCTTATGCGCGTACTGGCACACGGCTGGGACACGGACTTGTGCGGAGCAGTTATAGTACATGTGGGTCATCTTGTACGTCAACCATTGCATCTGAAACCGTAAAGTAGAATTAGTTGTAATTATATATAATTACTAGCGACCCGCCCCGGCTTCGCACGGGTGCAATATGCATGTATTATACATACAAACCTTCCTTAAGAATCACTCTATCTATTAAAAAAACCGCATCAAAATCCGTTGCGTAGTTTTAAAGATCTAAGCATACATACGGACATACAGCGAAAGCGACTTTGTTTTATACTATGTATTGATGTGCAACTGTAATTAAACCACTATAATACATGTAAATACTATATTATTAATCATTTCAATTGAATATAATAGTAATAGTTTTAGATAACAATTTCAATAACTGGTTAAAATATTTGTTAGATTTTGAGTATTAAATAAATTGAAAATATATATTACCCTGTCAGGATGCAGTCCTGTTGTATCCGCAATTACGTTATACGATGTAGGAGTTATGGTTCCATCTCGCACATTTTGTGAAATCAAAAAGAAGTCGTATCTGAAAATAGAAGGTGACAATTTAATATATCATTATCGACTTTGCTCCCCGGGTCATAATTCCAACACAATTTTTAGTATACTGCCGGTATAACGTTATCCAGTTCTGTATCGAAGTACGTTAAGTACCAATTAAAAGGCAAAATGAATTTTACCGATATCTTGAAAACGTTAGTAAAGTTTGAGATATGGGGTTCCTTAGACAAATCGGTTTGGAATGATGCATACTACTACCACCTCATAAAGGATTTATGTCGACTTTACCTGTAACCCTGCATATGTATGTATGTGTGTGAAGTGAAATCTTGCAATTAAATTTTGGAACATATATCTTCAACTGATTTCGCAGAAATTTTGTATAGCAATAATGTTAAGCCTTTTTTTGAGGGGTATAAATTATACAATGACTAATTCTAACGTCTTAGGTGAGGCGAGAGAGAGTGTCAGACTCTTGACTGACTAAAAGCCATTCCGTGCCTAATCCAGCATTGCTATTCTGTAAGAAACAGTTTCTAGGCTGTGTCGAATGCGTTGACGAGTCAGCCTAGAGATCGAGCGAGTCTCCTGTTCCGTTCCCCGTTCCTACTTGTTAACAAAAATATTTAAATTTATTTTCTTACCGCTCGGGTAGAGTAACAACGTCGTCAACCACAGTCCCTGGTCGTGGGTTTACGCATTTGCCTCCTTGTTCTAGGAAAATGCGTGTGTTTATCCTCTTTGACACAATTGTGAACGACATTTTATAGTCATCCGAGCCATACAACATACGAAGTGCCTTCTCTATTTCAGCCACCTAAAAATAATATTTTTTGCATTTTGATCTTGACTTTGGGTTTTGATAAAATTAAGTTTTAATACAATAGACAATAAGTCAATGGAAATTTCGAACATTTTAAAGGACTATAAGTCTAGATATAAATAATAAAAAATATAAATATTGTGAGATAAGAATTCGGGTCCAATTTTCAAACGTTCTTGTTCCCGTCAAAAATATGAAAACTTCGAACATTTACTGATTTTGTAATGACTAATAAAAATATTATTGAACGGTTTTATTTAGCTTGCTCCGTTTGTTTGTTTGTTTTTAATTCGAATTTTACCCCCTTCCTGACGATAGATCGATCTGATATTCGGTATACACCCCACTTCTTGATGACCAAACAATATTATAATTGAAACTTTTTCACTACTTCCATTATGGATACCAACGAAAGGGCTTGATTGGTAGAGTAGAGCACATTAACCTTTTGAATGCACCGATATGATACACAATAGAAAATACATTGTGTCTCGCGTGGATCCACACGGAAAGTTAAAACCTATTAACATATTATATATTGTTTGAAATATATTAACAAATACACAATAATATATGAGTACGCTATATGTGAACGATATATGAATAACTAACCTCGTGTGTGTTTACATAAGGAATTTGTCCATCACCCACGCCATCGCGATATATAAAAATCCTTTGCGGCAACATGCCTGAAAATATTTTTAATTTCATTTTATAGTAACATTATTACATTTTTAATATTGTCCAAAATAATTTTAAATATTTTAGCCTATTTAGTTTTTAAATTCCTTACGACTAACAAGAAATTTTATTTATAAAGGAAATTAATAGATACCGTTTACATCTCTATATTTTTTTACGGCTGTGGCTGTATTGAAGCCCATGTGATTGCTTAATTCTTCGCCAGATGTGTGCGAGTTGACAGCGGAGTAGTAGCGCGTCATATATCTATCTAACGAAGCAATATATCCACCGAAACTTTTTTGCTTGCTTTTGGTGTCATGACAGACGTCATAACCCACGACTAAAATGTTTTGTAGGGGGATCTCTACTCTCCACGGCGCGCCCCCGAGCTGTAATAAAAAAGAGTAAAAACAAAATTCATAGTTATTAAAATATATTACAATAAGTGTGGGAGAGACGAATGGGCTGAGTGATACCACGGCTTCACAGAAAACCGGCGCTAAACTACACTTCCGCTTGCTCGTCGTGTGAGTGAGGTTACCGGAGGCCCAGTTACCCCCCTTTCCTTTTCCCCAATCTCTAAATCTCTAACATTCCTCAAATTCTTAATCAAAAGGCCGGTAACTCACTTGTAACGCCTTTGGTGTGCCGGGTGTCCATTGGCAGCGCCGATTGCTTATACCATCAGGTAGGATACTGCTCATTTACCGGCTTAGGTAAATCAAATATCCCATAAAAAACAATTTTTAACTAACTGATACTTAATTAAGCATATAACATAACATATTTAGAGTTACTTCACATGACATAACAAAGTCAAAAGTCAAAGTCAAGTCAAAATCATTTGTTTCAATTAGACCAGAAAGACACTTTTGAACGTCAACAAAATAATTAAAAATGAAGCTATTTGCTCATTCGAAGTGTAGATTCTTATGGAGAAGAACGGACAAGAAACTTCATAGGTTACTATTTTTCAATCAGGTTCGCAATACAATTCTCTAATTACATAGTTTTGTTGTTTGGATTGTGCGAGAACAATGTAACACTAAAATACAGTCAAAGAGATTGAAAAAAATAACCTTAAAGGACAGTAAAAAATGTCTGGCCGTCAACTGGGACTGATCAGCACCAGTCCCAGTTGAAGGCGCCCGTTGATGAACATGACACGTACACCAGCACCGCTCAACTCAACCATATTGTACGGAATCGAGCGATCCACTGCATGTGCCACCACCAATGAGACCTTATAGTGAGCATGACCACTCCAAGCTGATACAAACGTATTCTACTGGTCTAATTTAATATTTAGTTAATTACAGGGCTCTCACATTTAGAATGATTATGTAAGTTAAACAATATACAAATGAGCAACATTGCTGTATTAATTACATGTTTGGATTTCATTAAAACATCAATGTTTTTCGTTATCTTGTGGAGCCGGACTAGCTTGCATCCAAGCATTATCCTCTATTCATTAATTGTAATATGCTTGTCTACATAAAGTTTTTTTATACATCATTTAAATTTTGTTTCATTTAGGTGTAACATGTCGCCTGATATCTTGTTATAACATTTAATACAGAATCCCATTAACGACTTACCTACTTTCGCGAACCTCAAAGTTGGTTGACTTAATCTATCCTTTTGTCTAGTTTGATAGTGGTGTCTGTCCGACACTTTACCAAATAACTGTAGGTTTTTCCTATCATACATGATGTTTAACATAACATCACTCCCTTTATCCCCGAAGGGGTGGGCAGAGGCGCACATTATGCCACTGTACAATGTAACAATTTTTAAAAAACCCAGAAATACTTTGCCCGACCCGAGAATCGAACCCGAGACCCCCTGCCCGGCAGTCGCACTTGCTACCACTAGGCTAACGAGGCAGGTACCATGTAATATAAATAAATTTACTTTTTCTCTCTTCCTGGTTTTGTGGTATGAATACAATAAAAAAAAACAACGTTCTGTCAAATGTCAGGCGTTTTGTAACGCTAAGTCAGGCTTTTGTAAATTTCTAGATGGCAACTACCTACTCATTCTCCGCCAAAATACCAAACGAAGCTACATTTTTCGTAACGAGTAAATAGCTTTACTTTTTTATAGTTTGACGTTACAAAGGGGCTTTAACAAGGGAATTGATATAAATGATTTTATAGAATAGAATATAACTTTATATTACACCATTAATAATACAGTACATACAGAAAAGGAAATGACAAATATAAATAAAAAGAATAATGGGCACTAAGGCGGTCTTATCACTTAGGTATAGTGATAATAAAAAGAAATATTTAGACGGGTTGTGTACTAAGGAAATAAATAAATAACGTAGTAATAATACATACATACATGTACATATACATACACATAAACATGCATACATATACACATACATACATATATACATGCATACATATTTTGGACTTTGAATATCGTTAATAAACGATACATACCATAGTAAATATACTATGGTATTAGAATTGCGCGATCGACGCAGTATCTATGTGAATGATGGGGCATTGGAACGCAACGTGTTCCGTGGTCGTAACAACTCATTAAATGCTCACAAATTATTACTTCATACTTAAGAGTAATCAGTTAGTAAATTACTATTTATTACCTTGCAGTTCATTTGCAGGGCCACCTTAGCGGCAACTGACATAGCGGAGTTGGATGTCATGTTCCGCGCGGTCACAACTTGAGTAGGGATGGCACGGTCAACTAGACACTTCTTTTTAATAGCTTCGTAACTGGAAACGACAAAATTTTTCAGTATAGTCAAAGTCAAAGTCAACACACAGTCAACGCGTTACTTCAATCTTGATTCTTTGAAAAAAAAATCCAGACTGCTAGTTATCATTACTATTTTTTATTTTATTTAGATTGTAAGTTTTTTGTGCAACCTGATATGATTTTAATACTCACCGATCCGTTAACTTACGCATGAGCGTGCAGAAAATCAACGTAGGGTTTCTGCGGGCTATAACGGTATCCAATGTTCGAGCGTAATCTATTGCGCCGTCGTACTGTATTGTTACTAAAAAAAAAATCGATGCGCATCAAATGCAAGAAAGTCGTGTTAGTTATCTACATTATTTATAAGTCAAGAACGCTAAACTGATTAGAATGACAAATCGGTGGCGAGGTAACTTAGAACCAGGAAATAGACATGGGATGGTTTTTATCCTGAAACACTGAGAATGGGAACAATGCATTACAATTCCGGGACTCTCAATCTTTTAAATTAATTAACTTATTTAAGTGAACTTCAAATACCTCAAATTCTGTCGGAAGTAGGTAATTATTGCATACGATGCAGCTAGTTTTTTATAAAAGAAAATTGATGTTTACCGATTTCAGGTCTGGATAGCATGAATTTTACATCTCTCGCCGCCTTTAATACCATATCTAGAAAAGCTTCAGTTTCACGACGAACCTTGTCAGGAGTTATCACTACCCATGATGAAAGTTGGCTAATACGCAGCAAGGGTTTTGATCTGACACAAAAGACGCATATTAATCATACATTATTAGGTATAGCCTATAGGAAGGTCAATAATTGTACGTATTTTTATAATATTACCGAATTTCTCGCGTCCATCCTTCAGGTGTATCACCTGCTGGATAACGGCAGTCATTTCCTTGAATAATATTTTCAGTGGGTAATTGACGTCCTTTAACCTTCATCAGTTGTTTAGCAAAGGTTAGGTGAGAGGTATTCAGCTCCTATAAATTATAAATTCTGTAGTATAGTAATAGTTTCACCTGGGCTAAACAAATTTACATTTAGCTACCTACATACCTATCGGTGTGCCATAACCTAATAATTCTACCTCTAGTATAATAGGTATCAATAACATGGCAGCTCTTGAAACGACGAGGCACATTTTTTAAACGTTGATGTATATAGTATATAACAGTACAAACCTTTATAACTTGTGGATTTTGGGTCAAGTTTCTGTTAAATTGTAGCAATTTGTTAACACGGACGTCAGGGCCGATTTTAGTGTGTGCATCAAGGGCCTTCATCAATTTAAAGTCGTTACGCATTTGGTCTGTCAATCCTGTCTGCCGGCACAGTTCGGGCACTAGATACACCAGTTCAGGCATCCCAGCGCGGATGTCACGTGGCTTTGATCTGGATATAAGTAAAGGCTGGTCGACGTCACGGATGGTAATTTCATATTTCTGGAAATTTAAAGACACCCAATTAAGTATTGCCATTAATTTGTTTGAAAAAAAAAGCTTTGCTGTAGTAGTATTCTAGTATGAAACCAAACGGAAACGGAAGAAGTATTTATGACAAAAATACGTTTTAAGCGTAAAATTTTTGAGGATGACCAAATAAACGGCATAAATCATAAATTAAAAATCTGAACGACTTCAATTGAAACTAAGAGACCTGTGAAAATGGACAAAGGACGCAGTCAATATTGAAATGAGGTACATACCTTTTTATAGTAGTCTATATAAGAAATTTTTTCATTTCTCAAGTTGAATGTGGATTTAGGTGTCGCGTGCCATGACACATCATCTACTTTGTACGTTTTACGGTTGTACGTAGTCATAACAATTTTCCCTGTAATAAATTATTCTTGAATTTAGCCTCTCTTCTCTATAACATTTTGCTACGGTACTTATTGAATTAAAGAGTTTCACCTTACCCACAATGTCTTCCAGAAAACATTTTTTATATGCTGCACCTTTTGTCGAAGTATAAGTTCTTAGCATTTGGAGTACGGTGTCCAACCGAAGAACCTTCAATAAAGAAGAAATAATGAGGAATAAAATAATTAAATGCCACCATTTAAGGGGACTCCCTATAGGTACCTACTCCTATATAATAAACGCGATAAGTAGCGTTTTTCATAAGTATAGGTAGACAAGACTGCTATAATGTTATTTATAAAAAAAATGAAAGATCTATTTTTATAAGTAACAGAGCTAATATTAATTTGATTCTATATTTTTATTTATTGTTACAACATAGCGACAAAAGAAATGTGGCATTGTGCATTTTTCCGATTTTTTATAGGATAGGTCGGCAAATGAGCAGGTACATCTCCTGATGGTATTAAATCCGAGCCCGCACTCGAAGCAATAGAGGTGTTACAAATACGTTGCCGGACTTTGGGGAACAGGAATTTGATTTGGATAGGGGATTTAGACATTAGGGAGTTTAGATTGCAGGAAATTTTGTCTCCGGTAACCAACGCACAAGGCGAAACACAATGCAACTATCATAGTTCTATGCGCTTGGTGACAGGCGACGGATACTAGTAATGGGGTTCAGTCTTTACTCTTACTTTGGTACTTTATGCATCTGCTTCGTCTTACTGGATGAAAATAGTGTTTTAGAAAGTAAACATCTGCCATTTTAATGGTGTTTGTTTGCCTGTTGGTTGATAAATAATAATTAATTTAACACCAGATCACGTCTGAGACTCATCAGATCAAACATAAAAAATAATATAATATCTAGGTATAAGGTTAGTTAAAAAATAAATTATTGTAAACTGAGTACTTACTTTGTGAGTAATAACAGCGACCATCAATAATTTGTCTTCGTGTTGGTTAATTGTGGTTTTATATCCGGGCCAAATTTGCAAGCGAAATTCAGGAATATCGATCTGGAAAAACCAAACCGATCGATCGACCAGATTGGGTTAGTAAAGCTTCCCATAGCAAAATCCAAATAATAATACTTATACATAAAATAAAATCGAAAATCATGTACTGAAGGTAACAGGACCGGTTTGGGAAGATGTACCTACTGGCTGCAGCGCAACGTGTCGCGGGTTCGATTCCCGCACGGAACAACTCTTTGTGTGATCCACAGATTGTTGTTCCGGATCTGGGTGTGATGTGTACGTGATATTGTGTGTTTGTAGACGCACTCACGACATAGGAGAAAATTCTATTGTGGAGCAACGTCAACGATGAAAAGTGCTCCGTGGCGCATTAATCAAACGCGAGTCCTGTAGCACATTCTATAAAGGTTTGATCACATTTATGTGTATATGATGGAAGTATGGATAACTAAATAGGGTAATGCCATTTCTAAACTTTTTACTGACCTCTATATTATGTCGTTTCAATTAAAAAATACTGTGTAAGGTGGAGATGAGTTTGGCTACGCGGGGCCCCTTTTTATGGGGTCTGTAGGAAATGCTACGAGGGTAATTCGGTAGTGTCTCTGGAAATGTTAACCTATCTTTCTTAGAATAGAGAAAGAATGTCATGATTCTATGTTTGATTCTCTTCATTTGAAAGAGTTACTTAACAATTGTTTCTCCAATCGAATTGGTGGGAAATAAAATATTAGTGTAGGTACCTATACCAGTATTAACAACTGCCTGCCTGAAAACAATAGTAAGATATTCATAATCGTAGATAGGTACATACCTTTGCTGTTGGGTCAAAATAGTCGCGGCCCATTAATTGCAGGCGCATTGCCGAAAAGCATTTCCTTAGTATCAGATTAAATATCTGAATATAATGATAATCACCAGGAGCGACGTCACCTATCAACTGAAAATGTATAATTTATTAACATAGGGAGGCCGAAGAAAGAGAGTTCAGTCGTATAGAATATTGATTTATCTGTATAATATAAAAATGAATCGCTGAATGAGTTGCCACGCTAAGCGTAAATCTTGTGAACAGCTGAACTGATTTCGCTTTTTGAATGTAAGAAAAAAATTGCAAAGCACACAAAAATTTCCAATGCAAAACAAATTTCGCGGCGCTGCTAATAATCATATAATTATAATGTGGAATAGTAATAAATAAATAAAAGTTCTCAAATTTTTACCTTCACCGTAATGACCATCTTTTGCTTGTCAGATTTTCTATCAGAGTAAAACTGGATCGGATCGGGGTGCAATCGGGTCATACTATATATCACCGACCCATCGAACACGTGCCTGTTATAAACAAAGTGATATTTGGTACATCGTGTGCTAAATTGAAACGGACGACTGAAGCGGTCATCTGCAAGCCCTTCAGACCCCTTAACACCCCTCATACCCTACGAATTTTTTATCCACTTTTTATTATTTACTAAAAACACACAAATTTTTACAACTTAAAAAAAAAAGTATAAGGCATAGACTTTGAATTTTCTTTTGACGTGTATTGTTTAATAGTACTTTTAAATTTAAATACAGAATTAGTGACATTAATTAAGGCATTGGCTGCCAATAAAAAACTGTTGAAGGCAAATCCTCCGCTAATGTCGGTCACCAGTGACTGCCATGGCGTTTAACGTGTTAATAACCCAGTTTCTTTTTAATTGACTCGCAGAGATAAAGTCTAAATTAAAGCTGTATAAGTTACGGCGTTATATGGCAACAAAAAAATGGCAAAATCGACCGGGATTTTCCAACTTCCTTAGATATTAATTCTCCAGTCTATCCTCTTGCTAATAATGTGCCCAGTGCCACATGCCGTAAAATTCTTTTGAAAACTGTGAATCCGATAGAATTGTGAATCAAGTCACGCAAGACTACGGTATATACAAATTGCAATGAAAACATTTTCATTGAATAACTGTTACTTGAGAAAGCGGTAATATTTGTATTCCCACTCTTACTTACGCAGTAAAATCTGGCTTCTATGTATTTTGTTCTTGCCTGCTTAAACCTTAAATCGAGTTGAGCTTTTAGGAAACAAGTCTGATAAATATTTGGTCGTTGGGATTTATGTATTTTTTTAATCATAATAAGTTTTGATATTAATCTAAGGTGTCTCGATTCACAAATTCTAGTAGTCAAGAGATCCCAAATAATATTAAACTTGCGGGCCGCAAGTTTAATATTGTAGGTACATAATTATACATGGGTAGGTACCTACTATATTTTATGGTATTCCATATACCTATTATGATTTTTGAATATTATCAACCTACACAGATAATTTATTTAAAAACAAACACTAAAAGAAAATGACGGAAAATAGGAATAGCACTTGGTCGTAGTTGAAGAGTTACTATACCTCTAAATTGTAAATCATTACTTACCAGCCTAAAACTCTCTGGTGGATGCGTACGAGACTTTTACGGACGAAAGTATTGTCTTCATCAGGTGAAAAGTCCACGTGGTACTGATACATTCGAAAGTGAGGCGTTGTTTCAACGGCAAAGTAATTTGCTAACAAATTAACCGGGGTGCCACTGTTACCTAAGTACAAGAATTTTGCAATTAAAAAATAATATACTTAGGTGAAATTAAAGTTCGAAATTGGATGTTCATCACTGGTTTTCTTTGTCCGTAGCATGCTTTAAGTATGCTGTCGAACCTAAGCTAAAATTAGCTAATTTTGAACATGAATACCTACCTTTTCATTCTGTACATTAAAACATTAATTATTTTGCTTCACAGGTATGTATCAATATGATTTTTCATTTACCTCCAAATCACTGAGCTCGTTGAATAGATATCAAAGAAAAAAAAGATAAATGTTTATACCTTTTTTCGATAATAATGTACTTGGCCGCGTTCGCAGTGCGAGCGCTTGTTCAGATTCCATGCGCGTCCCGCGTCCTCGCCCTGATGATGAGGGGCCCGGTTTTCTCGAAACATTGGACTGTGACGAGGACGGTTTATCTGACAAAAAAAAAAACAAATAAGTCAAATAACAAATCGGACTACTCCATATCTTGCTGCTCTAATTCTTAAACACAAATTGATGTTTTGGAACTAGACTTACGATGTCATGTGTACCTAACACGAAAATATCAGAAGAATTTGTCTGTTTTTTCTTGAACGCGATTCAAACTGAATAATTCTTAACTAAAAATCGCGGGTTACTCACGTGAACATACTGAGAGTAACCCATGATTTTTAGTTAATTTGGTATGTCTCACGATAGTTATTATGAATAATTCTTCTTGTGATGTATTGTCCATTTACCGAGTAAGGCTATAAAACATCACGCTACGATCAATAGGAACCGAGGAGAGTAGATGAAACCGTATGAGAGTAACTAGTATCTACCTATCTATTAAATAAACATTACACATATGAGTTTCAAATGTAACTATAGCATATATAAATAAATTGTGTGAAACGGCGTTTCATTAAAAAATATTTATTTCTGTCGAATTTAAGAAATAATGTGGAGAGTGGTACATATACCATTTTAGAATCCTTATTAAAGCGCCAACTTTGGTGAAATTTGCCACTACTAACAAAGTAAAATATTTTTCCGTACAGTCACTTAAAGTAAGGTGAACATTTTATTAAGAACACTTGATTCGTCAACAAGTTGTAAACAAAAGGCATTCTTTAAGGCATTGGCTGCCAATAAAAAACTGTTGAAGGCAAATCCTCCGCTAATGTCGGTCACCGGTGACTGCCATGGCGTTTAACGTGTTAAACCCGTAACAAATACCTTATATTACCTAAGTCATGTACAGTTTTGTGACAGATTATAACCATGACCATTAACCTAAGTTATATATTGTTATGGGCTTCTAGCACCGACTTCTAACCTATCAGTGGGTGGGTAACCTATAAGTACGTAGGTATCTCTAAAAATAATCATTTTTTGCTTTTTAGTTTTCACCTTTTGCTTGTTTTTAGGTTTTGATTTTCGAAATCGGTTTTTTAAACGCAGTTTTATTTTAATTTTTATGCTAGTTTAGTCAAGACTATATAGACCCAGTTTACTACGTATATCCCACATGGGTGCAAAGTTCTCATCACTACAAATTAATAAAGCCAAAACACCAGGTAGCTACTGTTAACCGTTGAGGAGTTCCCTTAGACTATCATACTACTTCATCATCAGGATCTTAATGACAATTACATTCCATTTAGATGTGAAGATATTCTCAATACAAATAATTTAAGCCCAAACACGGGGTCATTGCTACAAATCCTCGAGGAGTTCCCTCGACTGTCTCTTGACTCCATCACCAGATCAACTCCATACTTTCACCAAATTGTAGTGGTTTTAAATACTATATCAAATTTTTAACAAACGCTCTCGCCACCCATACAATTTTGAATAGTTCCCCTCGGCTTCCATGGGATCCCATCATCAGATCGTGACCTGTTGGAAATGGGACCACCCTGAGAGTATGACCTTTCCGACAAAAAAAGAATCATCAAAATCCGTCCACAAACGTCTGAGAAATCGAGTAACATAACATACAAAAATATACAGCCGAATTGATAGCCTCCTCCTTTTTGGGAAGTCGGTTAAAAAACGACATTACTTAATCATTCAAACTAGAGCAGGTGGCTCAGAATTTATGTACCAAATTCCACAATACTGGAGCACTACTCAGGATAATATAACCAAAAATACAGCTGACAACATAAAAATTCTAGCAGTAAGAGCCAACAGACTGGCACAGGTGCACTTTTTCGTGGTTTTCACATAACCCATAGAAAGAAAACTGTATGACATAGATTTTTTTATATTTTTCAGATCCTAACTGTTGAAATCTTTCGGAGTCGCGGAGAACCTAACCGGGGCTCCGACTCGACGTGCAGGAGAAGGAACGGGGTGGTTTTTAGTCAGTAAGAGTCTGACACTCCCTCCCGCCTCACCCAGGCGGGAGCAGTCATTCGATGATTTTCCCCCCTTAAAAAAAAAA